GGGGGGCGGCGGCTTTCCCTGGCCCGCTGGCGGCGTGGGCAGAAGCGTGGGGTCTCCCTCTCTCACTGCGTCTCCCCCTCGCAGGTGGCGGGTTCCAGGCTGGTGGCAACCGGGGTCGTGGTCGGGGAGGAAGGAAGGGAAATCAGTCCGGGAAGAATGTGATGGTGGAGCCTCACCGGCATGAGGGTGAGTGGGGAGTCGGGGCGCCTGCAGAGGCCGGGGTGGGGTGTGGCTCCCAGTCCTCACCGCTGCGCTGATCCCCTCACCCAGGTGTCTTCATTTGTCGAGGAAAGGAAGATGCGCTAGTCACCAAGAATCTGGTCCCTGGAGAATCAGTTTATGGAGAGAAAAGAGTCTCGATTTCGGTGAGACCTGAGCCTGATCTCTCAAAGCCACCAGGGCCCCAGCTGATATTGTAACCAACAATCTGGTCTCCCTGCCCTCTGTCATGTGTCCTATGTGGGACACCGAGAGCATCATCTTAATACATAAGTCAGATCATGCCCTCCCCTCCCCAAATGCCCTCTGTGATGCTCATTGCCTTCAGGTTAATGTTCCAAGTGTGGCCTGCAAGGCCCTGCACATTCTAGCTTCCCCTTCCTGCTCCCTGGCCTCACCTCCTACTGTCCCCCTGACTGTCTTCCAGCCCACTGCCCTTGCTGTACCCTCTACCTGGAATACTCTTCTCCCAGCTCTATATGTGTCATCACCAGCTTCTCTGGTCAGGTACCTTGTCTTTCTCAAAAGCCCTCTCTGTTGAAAACAGCCCTCACCACCTATCCCCTGCCCAACTTTTTTTTAAAGTTTTTTAAAATTGATTTTTAGAGAGAGAGGAAGGAAGAGGGAGAGAAAGAGAAACATCGATGTAAGAGTGAAACATCAATCTGCTGCCTCCTGCACCCCCCCTAATGGGGATTGAGCCAGCAACCTTTCCGTGTACAAGGTGATTCCCAACCAACTGAGCCACACAGGCCAAGGCCCCCCTGCCCTATTATCCCATGTCATTTTCTTCATGGCCAGGCCCACTCCTGCCTCAGGGCTTTTCTGCTGCCTTTCTTGTTGCCTGGAATGAGCCTCCCCCACAGATAACTTGAATGGCCCCTCACCTCATTCAGGTCTGCTGCTGGCTCTTCCCTGGCCACCCTTTCTCATTTTCACCTGCCCCTTGCTCTGCTCCCCATACTTTATATCTACTTTCTTGGCTTGATTCTTTCTCCTCAGCACCTGTCACTGGCTCCTGTTGTCTGTGTGTCAGTCCAGTGCATACTTATTCTTTCAGGGCAGGGGTCTTTGTCTCGTCCACTGTGTATCACCAGTGCCTGTTATAGGGTCTGTACACAGTATGTGCTGGCACTGCACATGTTTGCAGAATGAATGTGTAGATCTTGCCATTATCTGGTATGATCTTGTCTGTGTTTATTGTCTGTCGTTACCCCTTTTCTGTGTGTCAGTAACTTCCAAGATAGGACAGACACTGCATCTATCATGGTTACCGATATGTACCTACATTTGTTTCTTGTACAGTGATGGAGTCCTTTTGAGGGCCCTAGGGTTAAGGGCAGTGGGGGCTTGCAGAAGAGTCTGGCACTGATTTCCATCCCATCTCTTCTGGCCCAGGAGGGAGATGACAAAGTCGAGTACCGTGCCTGGAACCCCTTCCGCTCCAAGCTGGCCGCAGCGATCCTGGGAGGTGTGGACCAGATCCACATCAAGCCAGGGGCCAAGGTGCTCTACCTCGGGGCTGCCTCAGGCACCACCGTCTCCCACGTCTCTGACATTGTAGGCCCGGTGAGTGGATGGAGTTGTGGGAATTGGATGTGAGTAAGGGCTAGTGATGTGGTGGGAGGGAGAGAAAGGCCACTTCTTCTGCCAACCTGGAGTCAGAGGCCCTGGCTCCTTCCCTGCACTGTGTGGCGTGGAGCTAGGCCTTTCCCTCTGAGTGCCTGTCAGTAAAAGTAGCAGCTTGAACTACTTGCTCTCCAAAGCCTCAGTCAGTTTCACTCCTGTGTCTTGGCCCAGAAGGAAGGGGCATGGGCATTAGGTGACCAATGTTAGCCAGACCCAGAACTGAGTATATACCAGACTACTTGATTTGGTTGTCCTTTTAAAAAAAATTATGCCTCCAAAATCTGGTCTGCTGGTTTCTCTTTTTTTTTTTAATATATCTTTATTGATTTCAGAGAGAGGAAAGTAGAGGGAGAGAGAGAAATAGAAACATCAGTGATGACAGAGTCATTACTGGCTCCTGATAACAGTCATTGGCTGCCTCCTGCAGGTCTCCCACTGGGGATCGAGCCTGCAACCCGGGCATGTGCCCTGACTAGGAATCGAACCTAGATCTGGATCTTAGGTTGATGCTTAACTGCTGAGCCACACCTGACCGGGCTGCTGGTTTCTCTTGAAAACACAGGAGATCTCAGTTTCTGGGCCTGTATTCTGTGTGGTTACACAGGCTCCCTATTTAGAGGGTGTGCACTTCATGACCTCTAGCTCATCTGCATGACTATAGACTATAAAGCCCAGGCTCTAGTGCAGGCATTTAACAGTGACATGACTTTCAGCAAGGTATTTAATCTCTCTGGGCCTCAGTTTACCACACTGGAAAATATGGTTGTTGTGGAGATAAATGAATTAATTCCTGTAAAGTGGTTAGAGCGATGCCTGGCCTGGCCCATTGCAAATATTCTTAGCTGTTATGACTTCATCTCTGTGCCTTAGCTTCCTGGTTTTAAGCCTGTATTGTGGGCCTGGGCTTCCAGATCAGGCAAAGTGGGAGTGAATAAACCTCAGCCAGTGACTGCATGTCTCTGGACTTCGGTTTATTCATCTGTAAAATGGACATAATAGTAGTTGTTAAATGGTAGGGTTTTGATTTGAGGACTTGAAGAGATGCTGCATGCAGTGTATGGGCCCAAAGTAGGTGCTCCATATATAAGAACTAGTATCATTGTTATTGTTTGATTTATTTTAGGATGGTCTGGTCTATGCAGTTGAGTTCTCCCACAGATCTGGCCGTGACCTCATTAATTTGGCCAAGAAGAGGACCAACATTATTCCTGTCATTGAAGATGCTCGGCACCCACACAAGTACCGCATGCTCATTGGTAAGGGTCCTGGAGGGTGGCGCAGGTGGCGCGGGACAGGCCACTCCAGGTTTCCGAAAAGAGGCCAGAGCCCTGGTTCAGCTAGAATTGGAGTGGATGAGCAGGCCTCTTAAGTCTGCAGGAATGAAAAGGGTGGGGGGAGCCAGGTGAGGTTGTGAAGATGGTGGTCCTGCTTCAGGGTCTCAGATGTCTGGCACCTTGAGAGGGCCATCCTCCTCCTCTCTGATCTCGTGCCTCTTTCTATAGGCCTAGACTGCCCCATATTTCCTTCCTCTAAAATATGGTACTTTTACACTGCCCTTGGCTTATGTATAAAGCCTCCTTCAGAGATCCTTATCATCGTCTGGCGAGATTATAACCAAGAAAGCACAAATTGAGTGTGGCCTAGCCCAGAGGGCCCCATTGTGAATATCACCCTCTGAGGTAACTTATGTGAACAATTTGATGTTTGCTTTTCCCAGTTTCAAAAAGTTGGTTTTATTACACCATCTTTCCATTTTTTTAAGTTTTTTGTTTTGTTTTGTTTTTTAATCACACTGCCTTAAAAACATTACTTTGCATTCTGCTGGGTTTTCTTTCTATGAGTTTTTTTCCATGCACTCACACCATACCCTTTGTCCTGCAACTTCTTTTCCTCTGACAATCCTACAGACACTCGTCATAAGTGCGCACCTTTACTCGCCTTTTTGATGACATGTCTGTCTCCTTCCCCCACCCCCCACCCCCCAGACTGGGAGTGTCTGGAGGGTAGGGTCCAGGTCTGACTCGTCTCCCTGTCCCCCACGCCCAACCATGGCTTACAAGAGGCGTGAATGAATGATGTGACTGGGTTTTGGACCCATCTTAGGGGCATGGTGGAGGGAGGGGGATCAGTGGGGGGAAGTGAGACTAGAGACAGGAAACACTCTGCCAGGAATCTACAGGCCCCATGGGAGGAGCTCTAAGATACACTGGACCCAGCTTTTAACTGCCACTTCTTTCTCCCTAGCAATGGTGGATGTGATCTTTGCCGATGTGGCCCAACCAGACCAGACCCGTATTGTAGCCTTGAATGCCCACACTTTCCTACGTAATGGAGGACATTTTGTGATTTCCATTAAGGTGCGGGGTTTGGAGAAGTCTGAGATGGGGTGCTAGTATCTTTTCTATCATTAACTGCCAAACAGCCAGTCAAAACAAGGGAGCCTTCATCCCCCCCTAATCCAGTCAGTCTATTCTCAGCCTTTATCCCTACCCAGCTCCCTACAAGCCCTCCCCTGTTGCAAGTCAAATAGCACCTGATGAAAAATGTCTGCAGAACTAGCAGCTTTGGGGTTTAAAGAGGCAATAGGACTCAGTGGTCAAGTGCATGATCGCTGAGTGTGACAATCTGAGTTCGAATTCCAGCTTACTGTGTGATTTTGAGCAAGTTACTTAACCTGTGTGTTTGTAAAACAGAAATATTATATATGTAAAATAGAAATATTAGTCCTAATTTTTAGTATCCTATATAAGGATTAAATTTATCAATATATGTGAAGTGTTTAGAACAGAACCTGGTGTAGAATAAATACTAGATAAATGCCGGGTACGTTTTAAAAAACATTTTATTTGGAAATACAGAGAACTCTGCCTTGTGCCCTTCAACCAGATTCACCATTTTGTTAGTCTTTTGCTACATCTGTTTTCATATTCTCAGCTGCATTATTATTGTTAAAGAGGAAGTAGAAGGGGGGCGGAACCTGAGTGTAAAATTTAAACACTGGCTTTTAGATAAATAGGACTCTGTCGAAGGCTACCTGTTCCGAGTCCATACCAAATTGAAAATTTCCAAAACCTGAGTTTCACCGTTTCCAATAAAAACAAATACTTCTGATTTAAAGCGCACGGAAAAGGGTAAATAGCCCAAAGCCCTGCTGTGGACCTCACATCCTCTCCTTGCAGGCCAACTGCATTGACTCCACAGCGTCTGCCGAGGCAGTGTTTGCCTCGGAAGTGAAAAAGATGCAGCAGGAGAACATGAAGCCCCAGGAGCAGCTGACTCTAGAGCCATATGAAAGAGACCACGCTGTGGTCGTGGGCGTGTACAGGTGAGCGGGGGCCCAGTACTCCACCAGGACAGCTGTCCTGGCCCCTGCACCCAGGGTCACGCGCGTCAGCACTTTCTAGGAGTGCCCCTACAGTAGTGACAAGCTCTGACGCCCCTCATCTCCTTCCTCTACAGGCCGCCCCCCAAGGTGAAGAACTGAAGGCCTGCGCTCCACCTGGATTTTGAGAAATTGTGTTGCTACTGTTACACGTGTTTTTCTATTAAAAGACTCATCCTTCCTTCCAGTTTGGGTCTGCTGCTGATTGCTTGGCCACTTCTGTTGGCAACAGGGCGCAGGCGTCCTTGCTTAACTCGCGTGGTGGTGGCGGATGTTCTCCACTCACACAGCGCATGCTCCTGTCTTAGCTCCATCTCACGCCGCCCTAACCCGGATTTCGGCGCTTGGGCGGGGTTGGTAGCTCACTGCGCCTGCGTGCTGGTAAGCTCCGCTGAGCGCAGGCGCGGTGTGTTGCCTCGGGTCACGTGAGGAGAGGGGGGAGGGTGTGGGGGC